ACTCTGTGTATGTGTGGGTGTGTGTGGGTGGGGGTGTGTGTGTGTGTGTAGCAGTATATTGCCTGGATACTAGGTGGCACTGTGGTATTAGGAGATGGAGAACACATGCTGGATCTACTGTATCTGATGGGGAATGGAAACCACTCTCCAGTTGGAAAGGAGACTGAATCTTGTCTTCCTGAATTCTTTGCCCTCAATCTGGGACTATTCACATTGTCAGCATTCAGTCCTCATGGAACTGGGGTCCCAATGCTCTCACTAGACTTCCCAGGAGGCCCATTAAATAGTGTTCCCTGACAACAAAGTAACCATCTAGTGGGTTCGGGAACCAGTAAGCTCACTCCAAGGATGGCTGCTGGAGCTCAGCAGGCATGCCAGAGCCAGCCATGCACTAGGATCCTACGATTATTCCTTCCATGCCAGTGGTCTTCCAGGAATGGTGGTGTCCTGTCAGCCACAAAGCTGATGGGGGAACAACCCTGTCCCATGTTCAACCCTGGCTGCTGGATGCTGTTTGACTCTACTTGCTGCTCCAGTGAGCAGCCCAGTCCAAAATCAAAATACTGCAGGACAACCTTTTCCACCCCCAGACCTCCGTGGGAGAGCCAGCCAGGCAGCCAGTCTCTGCCCATACCAAGCACCTGCCTTCCACATCAGTTTTCCTTAGCTCCACACCTCCTTATTGGCTCCTGAAGTCTTCTGCTTCTTCACTGTGCCCCCAGAGTAATGGTTCTCTGCAGATTCCCCAGTCAGAGGTGGCTGAAGTCCACTTTCCATTGAGACACCACCAAGGAGATAATCGCTAATCTACCATCTTGCTCCATTCTCCTCATTACCCTTTTTGATGTTTGATATATTTGTCCCCATAAATAAATTAGGAACAAAATTGCCCTCCAGTTTCCCAAACAAGGCAAAAAGAATTTGTCACTGAATGCCACAATTTCTATCATGGAATAGTCGTTTGCTAGTGCAGACGGGAGGCAAAATGCCCCCATTAATAAACCTACAATTATTCAGCTAACAGAGCTGGTTCTGAGTCCAAGAATCTTTTGGACAATTGAAGATTCCCACCTTCAAATATTGCTTACATTGCACTTGATTAAGAAATAAAGAAGAAAGCATTTTGGTAATTTTTGTTTCCTGCTGTGCTAAAATTTTCAAAATGATCAAAGTATGCCCAGTCCAGAGAAAGTAACTTTTAAAATCTCCAAAATCAGCAGTACCTATAACAAAATTTAAGTTTCACATTAATCTATAGAATAAAAGAGTTAAAAGGTAAAAATATAGGTCAAAAAACATAATCCAAATATAACTTGAATTAAAATTTTTAAATTAACTAATATACAACATTCTGAACAACTGCCCTAGAGATTTAGAATCTGAAATTCTGATAAACTATGAATAAAGAAAATTGATATTTTCTTTTTATATGGAATAAATAAATTAGAGAAAAGAAATAAAGAAATTTATAAGTGTGAACTTTTGTCCTTATTCATCATAAACTTCTCACTTTTTTCTAGCTCTCTTATTGACACAATATTTAACTGTTCTCCAAAGTCACCTATGGAACTAACCTCATCTTCATCTCTTTTTTAACCTCTGTCAAACATGTCAGAATTTAGCAATTATTCTGTACTCAACTTTTTAATCAATTTAAATCATCATCCTTCTATAGACTAGTTGCGAATGACTTCTCAGGTTTCTTAGGATTGGGTTTCTAATGATTTCAAAACATACTATAAGAATTTATACTCAAAATATACTTTTTATACCATTGCTATTTTGTTTGTTTGCTTAACAAACTTACTTCTGCTTTTCCAATAAACTATAACCCCAATATAGTCTCTCTTTCTTACTTTTCTCTATCAAATACGACCATTCCTCTCACTTTTACTTTCTTGGCTTCCATCCCTTTCTGGGCCATGTTTTAAGTTGTGATTCTAATTGTTTTTCTCTCTATAAACTCCTCATGATAGACATTTGCTACCATAAATTAACTTAACTTCCTAAGTACAATTAAGTACCATGGTATTAAGTACCATAAAAGTGAAAAACTTAAGTAAAAATTTTAAGATAAAGATGGTTTATTGAAGAGTTTATAAATAAGTAATGGAAATTTAATGCAGAAATTAAAATGCTATATGTAAACTTTCCTGATTATACAACTTTTTCCTGATTGGCATTCTTTATAATGTAAGAACATATTTTAAGCTTTTTCTTAATAATTAATTCAAAAATTGCTTATTAAATATCTATTGTATGTCAGGTACTGTGCTAACCACTTAGGATATATGCCAAGTGAGAAAACTGCCTGCTAGTTTCAGGTTAGCTACTACCAATGAACCAATCTACTTAAAGTTAGAAGTTCAACTGTTGGAAAAAATATATACCCTAACATATATGAAGGGTATATTCATAGGACTTTATTACAGGAATGAAATAATTTACCACTTAAGTACTATTTTCTTGTCCTTTATTTTAAAAAAAGTTTGGAGATAATCTTTATTATCATTTAGCACTATAAAAATACCAAGTTTTGGCTCGGCGCCTATAGCTCAACCGGCTAAGGCGCCAGCCACGTACACCTAAGGTGGCGGGTTCGAATCCCCAGCCCGGACCCGCC